GAGGGCGAAGAGAGGAGGGAGGAGGGTTATGGGAGGAGGGTGAGGGGAGAGAGGGAGAGGGAGGAGGAGGGTGGATATGAGAGAGAGGGGAGGGAGGAGGGAGGTTGGATGGGGAGGAAGGGGCAAGAGGGTAAAGAGTGTGAGCGTTCGAGGAAGTCCTAGGCGAGGGCGTATTCCTTAAGGAAGAGTTGGGCGGGAGCGGGGGTCCCGAGTACATTGTCGGACGTCTCAGGCGGGAGCGCCGGTCGGGCGGGCGGACCCTGACGGGCGGGTCGGGCGGGCGGGACATTCGAACGGGATTTTTGCGTAAATTGCGAGGAAGTATTAAGCGAGAGCGCGATTCCTAAGTAAATTGCGAGGGCGTCCTTGGCGCGAGCGTGGTTCCTGAGCGTCGAGAACGCGATGCTGCAATGAATTGCGAGGATGTCCTAAGCGAGAGCGCCATTCCTGAGTAAATTATGAGGAAGTCTCGGGCGGGAGCAGGGGTCCTGATTAAGGAAGTCTCAAGCGGGAGCGCCGTTTCTGAGTAAAATGTGAGAAAGGCTGAAGCGGGAGCGCCCTTCCAGAGTAAATTTTGAGGAAGTCTCAGGCGGGAGCGGGGGTCCTGAGTAAATTGTGAGGAAGTCTCAGGCGGGAACCGTTGTTGTTGTTGTAGTCCGGGGCCCAACAACGCAATCTGATCCGCAAGGCTTTCCCTGTCAAAAAACAGGGAGCGAGCCCCGAAGGAAGCACTTCAATTAAAAGAAACAATGGGCACTGGACAGGGGGGATCAACAATAATTATTCTTCAGAAATGAGAGTTCATCAGCAGCAACAACAACAACAGCAACAGCACCAGCAACAGCAACAGCAACAACAACAACAACAACAACAACAACACCACCACCACCACCAACAACAACAACAACAACACCAACACCAACACCAACACCACCAACAACAACAACAACAACAATTACTAGCACGTGGGGACACTCCGTTCTCACCAGTGCCAGGGTTTTCATAGGAGGCGGGCAATACCCCCACTTTGTGGGGGGGCCGGTTCAAGCGCTACCAAATTTCCAAACGACTCTTCGCCACCACCCACACCCAGCTTCCCGCCCTATGACGTTCGGACACTTCACTTCGTGGCATTCGGACGACCGTGGCTACTATTCAGGGCCCCGCGGCCGACGACGACGGCGTGCGCGCGCGAAGAAAAAACGAATGTGTCCCGCATGGTATTATTTGACAGGGATGATGGCCCTGGCAGGTGCGCAACCGTTGTCGCAGAAGTTCGAACAAGTTGCTCGCAAAAGCCCGATTGACAGAAATGTTTAAAAAGTGTTGGGTTTCCTACGAATCCGCAAGAGCGCGCGGGATGAGATTTTGACAATTTTTTGTTGACAAACCATTGGTTTTTTTGATGTTTTTATGTTAAAATCGCTGCGAACACTAAGGTTTTGGAAGGATTTCGTCTTGCGCGCGCGAATGTCCACTTTACCTAATTTTTTGCAAGGGATTCTTGAAAATTGATTATATTAGAACAAGAAATGTCATTTTCTATTGTTTTTTGCAAGGGAAAGCGGATTACAACAAAACAACCGGATCCTGTACACACCCTCTTTTCTGAGGCTTCCTCACGAAAATGATGAAAATGTAGCTGCGGCCTAGGCGGCGCAGGGGGGGCGCGCACCAGGGGGCCCAACAATAATTATTCTTTAGAATAAATAATGTTCAACAGGAGGAGGAGGAGAAGGAGGAGGGGGAAGAGGTGGAGGAGGAGGAGGAGGAGCAGGAGGAGGAGGAGGAAGAGGATGATGAGGAGGAGCAGATGAGTAGGAGGGAGGAGGAGAGGATGAGAGGAGGAGGAGGAAGACGAGGAGTAGGAGAAGAGGACGATGAGGAGGAAGGAGGGACAAGAGTGAGGAGATGGAGGAGTAGGATAGGAGCAGGAGGAGAGAGGAGTTGAAATGAGGAGGGAGAAGACGGAGGAGGGATGAGAGGGAGGAGGAGGTGGAGGGACAGAGGGAGGAGGAGGAGGAGGAGAGGAGGATGAAATAACAGGATGAGGTGGGAGGAGGAAGAGGAGCCCCAAACCAGGAGGACGCGGACGAGAAAGGAGGAGGAGAGGAGGGAGGAAGGAGAGGAGGAGGAGGAGGTGGGAGGAGGAGAGGAGGAGAAGAATCATATGAAGAATAAGCATGAAAAGACGAGGATGAGGACGAGGGAAGAAGAAGGAGGAGGAGGAGGAAAATGGAGGAGGAGGAAGAAGAAGAGGAGGAGGAGGAGGAGAAGAGGAGGAGGTGACAAGAGGTCGGAGGTGCAGGAGGAGGAGGGGAAGGAGCGGAGGAGGAGGAGGATAGGGAGGAGGAGGAGGAGAGGAGGGGGAGGTATAGGAATGAGGAGAGGAGGAGGAGAGAGGAGGAGGAGGGGGAGGAGGTTGGAGGAGGATAGATCTTCGTCGCCCCACAAGAGGATGCTCGCAGCACGCGAAGATCTGCTCGTGCTGAGCGTGGCCCCTCCTCCCCCCCAGACCCTTCCCCCCCCCCCCCACCGCCCCGCGTTCTCCCACGCGCCTCTCCCCTCTCGTGACCTCGATTGCGCCCCGCCGTCGCCCGCTGGAGGGGTACACGGGGCACTACTCGTGCATTGTTAGCCGGCGGCCATGAGGAGTCAAGCAGCGTGCGAGCGACGGCGGGATGCAACCGAGGCGAATTGGGGAATGGGGGACGGGGAGGCGCGCGCGGGGAGTGGGGGGGAGGGCCGGGGAAGGGCCTGGGAGGGAGCCACGCTCAGATCATGCAAGCCTTCGCGTGCGTGCCGAAGTGCAGCAGGTTGGAGTCGAAGCCCATGGGGTGGGCATGAGGGTGGGGCCAGGAATGCGCACTGCATGCACAGTCAAGACGCTGAAATTTGGACCACCTCGGGTTCACGAGGGGCTCTGGTTTCCGGGCCGTTCCGTCAAGCCATGTCGGGGAATCTGTGGCCGATGCTCGCCGTGGCCAGGAAAGCCGCTTCGTTCTTCAGCCAGCGCTTCTTATGACAGCGCGATGGCTGCAGCGTGAAAGCTTCGGCCATGACCGGTCCTGTGCCGCGGCGCACCTCCCAGAGTGGCGGCCGGTGCCTGGGTGGCCTTCCCAAGGGGAATTGAGGTGGAAGAGGAAACAGCCAGGTCACCCTCAGGGGCGCGAAGTCGATCGCGCTTCGCGCGTCGCGGCCAGCGCCGGAGAGCTGCCCTTCTCCAGGTTCGCTTCGCGAGGGCGCGAAGATAACCGCTCGTCGCGCATCGCGGGGCGCAATGCGCGAAATTTGGTGACCTAGAGTGCGGGGGGCGGAACGGGTGCGTATGGGCCAGGAGGGACATGGGCGTGGAAGAGAAACATGACCAGGTCGACGGAAGGCGGCGATGGCGGCAGGGTGGTGTCCCGAAGCTCCTGTCAAAGTCCACGACTTTGAGATCTAGGTCCCCCCAGAGGCGCGAAGACAATCGCGCTTCGGGCATCGCGGCTTGGGTTGGAGAGGCACCCGTCCCAGGGCAGCGGCGCGAGGGCGCGAAGATAACCGCTCGTCGCGCATCGCGGGGCGCAATGCGCGAAATTTGGTGACCTAGAATGCGGGGGGCGGAACGGGTGCGTATGGGCCAGGAGGGAAACGGGCTGAGCGTAGCCTATGAGTTGGAGACGCACAGCTGGACGAGTACGCTCCTCCTCCTCTTGCTCCTCCTCATCCTCCTCCACCTCCTCCTCCTCCTACTCCTCTTCCTCCTCCTCCTCCTCCTCCACCTCCCCCTCCTCCTCCTCCTCCTCCTCCTCCTCCTCCTCCTACTACTACTACTCCTCTCCGCGCTATGTCATGTGCCCAGTGCTGTGGCGTGCGGCCGATCTCCAAACTACGTTCCTCCCCCCTGAGTCTCCGTTGGTTCGACTTCGTTTGGGGCGTGAGTCTGACTACGAGGGAATGGAGAACGGACGTATGCGCGTACATCGTCGCAGTGTTTTCGCATATCGCATATCACATCTACCACAAGCTTCGGCCCCATCTCGGCATGCAAGCGTGTGCATCATCTACCAGGTTCATCAGGCTCGCGCGACAGCGCGTGCAGCCCTATCCACAGATCAACACGACCACGCTCGCCGTGTTTACGTGCGATCTTCCTCCTCTCCGCGCGCGCACAGCTTCTGTCCAGGACGCCCCGCGTCATGAGCCCCGCTCAGCCCCCTTCTCCGTGGGTTGCGCGACTGGTACTGTGTCCCCCGCGGGGCCACCAGCGTGTTTCTTGCTGGCCAGCAGGGTCCCTGGAGGACTTCCAGGGGGTCAGCAGCGCCTTGCGGCACCACACCAGTCTACCACCGAGCTCGAGACCAGGAGTCCAGAACGGGGCTGCCGCTGCCCTACGCCTGCGCTCCGCCGCCAACTCCCGGCAGTCTGTGCTGCGCGGCGACGCAGAGGGAGCAAGGGGAACGACAAGCAGGCCGACGGCGGCGAACGCGCAGGAGTGAAGCCAGGGCCGGTGGGAAAGGGTAGGGCGGAGCGTCCGAGGAAGCCTCCACGGAAAGGGGCCCCCAGGGGGGGCTTGCTGGGGACTTCCATGGGACCTTCGCGGGAGCCTCCAAGCGCGGCGAGCTGCAGACCTCCGTGCGGAAGGCTCCAGCGGCCTCCAGGGGCCGTGGATCCCTGCGTGGGGTGTGTGGCTCTCGATGGGCACTTTGCGCGTGCATGGCCCTTCCAGGAAGAAGTGGCGGCACATACAGTGCATGATGACAGTGCCTTGCGCACTCGTGCGTGTGCATTTCGCGCCTGCACAGTGTTCCCCAGGGCGACGCGGAGACCTGTGCCTTGTGCACTGATCTGAATCTCCGCCATGCCTGTCACCCCGCACGGCGCGATGCGGACACATCGAGTCTGTCATCGCGTGCATTGAATTATGCCGTGTGTACCGCGCGTGCGCGGCACTTCCCAGAGCATAATTGGGGCACGGACAATCATGCATGTTCCACATGAACGACCCTTTTGTCGGCAGCTCAGCAGGTCTCTGGTCCAAACACCGTCTGCCCCCAGAGCGTGCGGGCAGACTGCCATTGGGCGTCGGGCTGGGCCAAGGGGGGCAGCTGGTCGCCACAGAGAGGTGCGGACTGAAGATCTCTTGGGACGGTCTCCAGGAGAGGTCTACTGACTCTGGAGCTGGCAACTGCCAGGAGGAAAAATGAGATTCCCCACATCCAGATCGCCCGCGGGGGCCCAGAGATAACCGCGCTTCTCGCCTCGCGTCCCGGGCCGGAGAGCTGCCCTGTTCCAGGACGGTGGCGCCCCGAGGGGGCGAAGGTAACCGCGTGTCGCGTACTGGGGATCGCGATGCGCGAAGTCAGATTGCCAATCGCATGCGCACCCACAGGTGACAGGTGTGTCTCTGCGCCCGCTTGCCTACATTGACGCATGTTGTGCCGCGAGCGTGCAAATCTGCAAACGATTCGAAGGCAGGATCGTGATTTCGAGGAAGGGCCCACCAATCGGACACTTGATCGCACGGTGGTCTGCTGTCATACATAGACATTTGCGATCAATACTTTATTTGGGTTTCAGGCTGATGTTTCGTGGGCCAGTCTTGAAGAGCTCGTAGCTGCTGCTGCCCATGGGGACCGGCGCGTCCTCAGTTGCTTTATTATGGCTTTTCTCTGCGCTGCGGGCTGGGCGTAGTGCGCCACTGGAGTCTCGTCAGGGGGATACAGTCTTGAGCCTCTCGGCGCACAATTTCGCGACAACTTTGCAAACAAATCACGCAGTGCTTGTGGCATTCTGTGCCCCTTTCTGTAGTCATTGCAACAACCTAAAACCAGAGCTGGAGAAGGCCAAAGGAGCACTCAACGGGCGCGTGTTGCTTGCAACTGTTGATGCGCATTCAGAAGTAGATTTAGCTCAGATGTTCGATATTGGCGCTTATCCAACTGTATATTTTTGGAGGGGTGGGCAACAATACCAATATGGTGGTGGTCGCCACAACAGCAGTATTGTGAAATGGCTATTGGAGCACAGTGGACTGTCAGTGCTTGTCACAAATGAAGAGGGCCTGGCCACGGCGTTGCGGACTCGCCGGACAGCCACAATATTTGTGGCTCGTGGCCAGCAGCATTTGCAGAATATTTTTCGCGAGGTAGCAATCGAGCACAATGAGATGGGCACGTTTTATTTTGTGGAGACTAGTGGAGACCCGGTTGTGCAAGTCTACCGGGGCGTAAATGAGGTAGTCGATCTCCGAGGAGAGGAGACAAAGATTTCAGCGGCCGTTCTGGGCTTCTTGCAGACAGAGCAGCTCCCACAGTGGGGCGAGATCACACAGAGAAACTATGCGACGTATATGAAAAGTGGGTTCGAATATTTGTTGTGGGCATGCTTCGATCCAAGCACAGTGCAAGCAGATGCAAAGCATCTGTCAGAGATGTTTGTTAGGATCGCGGATCAAGCTAAGACAGCCCTTTTTGTGTATTTGGACACTGCCGCGCAAGGTGAATTTGCACGAGACGATCTTGGTTGTACCGATTATCCAACACTTTCTTTCCAGTTTTTGAACTCGACGCCGGGAAAAGACAAAAGGCATACATTACCGTTTTCGGTAGCAGACATTACAGAGCAAGCAATCAGCCTATGGATGCAACGCGTCATCAATGGAGAGACAAACGAGCAGGCGTTGCTACAAGGCGTTGGCAGAGAGTGCTTGGTGAGAGTGCACAACGTTGGCCAGACGCTCACGAGCGAGACATGCGCAGAGTTGGTCTCGGGTCGAGCTGGCCAAGGTTGCGGAGTCACTTTCATGTTCAGCGCTGCCAGCACACAGTCGGGCTGTTGGTGTTGCGCGCCTGGCGACGTGGGCAAGGCCAATCGGCTGTGGAGCCTCTACAAGATCTCGGGTCCCACGCCAGAGCGCATGTAGGTATCTGTATGGATCCCGATGCAGACCGTGCATGAAACTATATGCGACTTTGTTGCCAACAGTCCACACACCCCGTCCTTGTCCTCTCCCCGCACGCGCCAGCTTGTTCTCCACAATCCTTCAAATATCCGTATGGAGCGGCGATGCTCCCCGCTTGGCATCAAGACAAGTCTATACACGTCCGCGTGTACCGAGGAAGCTGGCGGCGCATCACCGACCGTTTCCTGGTAGTTGAGCGGAATTGAACGCAGCGCTGAAGTTCGTGACGCGTCGTGTGTTCGAGCCATCCCTGTCGCAGGCCTTCTGGGCGTTCCTGGGGTGCGTCTTAGGTGCGTCTTCTGGGTCTCGTGAGGGCTTCTCGGAGGCTCTTGAGGGCGCGCTGTGGGTCTGGGGGCCGTCTTATCGCGAAGGTTCACCTAAATTCTTTCGAAGCGACTCGGTATAAGAGGAAGTCTGGGCGACTCTGGGGCGGTCTGGGGGCCCTCTTGGAGCGTCATTGGGCCGTATTGGGGCAGTCTTGGCGCTGTCTTGGGGCCGTCTTGGGGCCATCTTGGGACCACATTGGGGCCATCTCGGGGTGTCTTTGGGACATCGTGAGGCTCTCGGATGCGTTCCCGAAGTTACCTGACGCCGGGTAGCTTTGGAAGCAAACATCGTTGAAGGCTTTGCTGTTCTGTTGTATGCCCTTGGCCTCCCATGGCTCTGGGGAAGGCCTCCTTGGGCGCCTTTTGCGAGATTCTTCGATTTCCCTGGGGGAATCTTAGAGGCACATTGGGCTCTCTGGGACGTCGCTGGGCTGGCGTGGGTTGGGCCTCGGGCAGTTTGCAGCCGTCTTGGGGCAGTCTGGGGTCAGGCTTGAGGCCGTGTAGCCGCATGGGGGCGTTTGGAGGCGTGGTGGAGCCAGTGGGGACCGCTGGCAAAGTTGCGCCCCAGGCAGTAAAGTATAGACGCTTCGCGTAACCCCACCAGCAGGGTCACTTTGTCCCTGGCATGTGCACTCGCTTCAGCGGCCTACGTGCCTCTGCAGCCAATTATCTCGCTCTGTGCCCCAGGCGTGAATCCCGCTCCCTGGATCTGTCCTTAGAGCCGCGAACCAAAAAAGTAACCCCACCAGCCTGAGTGGCTGCCCGCGCGCTCGCTTCGCTTGCCTCTCTTTTCGTGCTGCCTAGTCGCGGCCCGACTAGTGTTCGGACGGCTTTCGACCTGCTTCGCGAGCCCGCAAACCAAGAAGTAACCCCACCAGCTGGGCGCCGTTCGCTTCGTTATTTTTTCCTTTGCTTCGGCGCGGCCCGCCCTAGCTTGCTCGGCGTTCGACTCGTCTTCGCGCGCCCGCGTACCAAAAAGTAACCCCACCAGCCCATCCAGAAACGATGCCCAGGCGAGTTGCCCTAATCAGGGATGTGGATGAGCATGCAGTGGAGTAGCGGGCCGGGTAAGACGTCATACCCCAAGAGGGGGAGGATGGAGGAGGAATCGAAGGAGGGGGAGGGTGCGAGGGAGAAAAAATGGAAGAGGGAGGAGGAGGAGGAGGAGGAAAAGGCGGAGGGGGAGGAGGAGGGTGAGCAGAATGGCCAGAGGCTTTTTGGATGCCTCTCGGAGTCTCTTCGGATGCCTTTTGAAAGTTTCTTGGAGTCCTCTTGGGGCGTCTTGGGGGCCACTTGGCCCTCCTGGGGGCCTCTTGAGGCCTCCTGGGCGCCTCTTGGGGCCATCTTGGGAGCCTTGATGGCCATTGTGAGGCCGTATTGGAGGAGATCGATCAAAGAAGGGGGGGAAATTACATTCCCCCCACCCCAGGAGGCCAACATGGGCCCCAAACCTTCGTACAGCGTTTGACTTCTCGCCGATGCCTTCTTGGACGCTCTAATGGGTCGCGGGGCGCCCCATCCAGGTCCAGTCTCGCTCACTCCCACCCGCCCTCCCAACACATACGTAACACCCGAGGGAGTTTCAGCATATTGCTTAGGAGCGCCACGCATGCCATAGGCGCCACGGCTTCCAAGTGCACGAGGCACCCTTGAGTTCTAAGCGAGCCAGGCGCGCCAGGTGCGGCACGTGCCCTACGTTTAAGCAATATGCCGGCACCCCCGCTGTCCATATTAAATAAAAACCATGCAGAATTGGTGGTCACCGGGCGCCCAATTATGCTCCAGATGTGCAGGCAAAATGCAGTCTGCATTGTTTTCTGACAGGGATGGTTGGCCTGCGCGCAGCGAGCACTATGACGGCACTCCCTCCGTCCTTGTCAAAAACCAATGCTAAGTGGTCGCGGGGCGCCCGCGCATTCTCCAGATGTGGAGGCGAATTGTATGCTGTATTGTTTTTACAGAGATGGTGGTGGGTGGGGCATGTCCCGGGTCGGTCCACAGTCGGGTTGGGGCGGGAGGTTTATAAATAAGGAGCAGTGGTCAAGGTACCCTCCTAGATGTCAGGCCGTCTAGCTCACTCCCACCCGCCTCCCAACACATAAGTAAGACCCGAGTGACAGCAGCCCGCTTAGGAACACAACACGAGCCATGTGCGCCACGGGTTCCTTGTGTGCACCAGGCACCCTGGAGGCCCAAGCGAGCTAGGTGCGGCGCGTGCTCCACGTGCGCCTACTGTGCCACGTACTCCAGCCGCGCCAAGTACGCTAGCTACGGGGAAGCATACAGCCCCCAGGCGCCTGGGACCCTAACCCCACGGAGTTCAGGATCTTCATCTTCAGTACCCTTGAAGCGAAGTGCCGAGCATTCTGTGAGAAGGGCGGCTCCTCCAGGGAGCGCAAAACATCGACACCGAATGACAAACTGTGACATATTCAGGAGTAGTGAAACAGATAAGAGATCAGAGAAGATGGCCCTGCGCATGCTCCAGATTTGGAGCCAAACTGTATGTTGTATTGTTTTTTGCAGGGATGGTTGGCCTGCGCGCAGCAAGCAATGTGCGGCACCCCCGCCGTCCCTGTCAACAATCAATGCAAAGTGGTCGCGGGGCGCCCGCGCATGCTCCAAATTTGGAGGCCAAGTTTATGTTGCATTGTTTTAGTAAGTGATGATTGGGGTAGGGTTTCATTGGTCCGGGTCCCGGGGTTGGCTGCGGGTCACCTCGGGGAGAGGGTGTTCATGAATTGGGAACAGTTTTAAACCCTCCCCGAATGGGAAGAAGGGGGGTTGGACGAGGAAACGCTCTAAACCATTCACGCCCTAAAGGGCTGATGGGACTTCTGGATGCTTTGAACATCAAGGTTCGTTGCGTGATATCCGACTCCGAACCGAACCTCAGGGTCGGCTTTGGAGGTCGCCGCGGCCACACATCGGGGCACAGTTTTTGTCAAGGAGTGGCATGCCCCTTCCCAGCTCCCCCCGCTCTGCGATGTAGACGTGGCTCAGCATTGGCAATCCTTGTGGAAGACGATCAACGGAGAGGAGGCGCATTGCCACAATACTTTCCGGATGTCTAGCACATGTTAAATAATATGTGTCTGATATGCCAAGGCATGCGTGTAATATGTTTCAAACATGTTTAATTCATGTAGAAGACATGTTCAGGACATGTTCAGTTCAAGGATCAAACGGTTAGGGTGTCCATTGTCAAGGCATCCGCAAGGCAATCTAGCGACAGACAGTCGTCAGTTCGTGTCCAACATGGGCAGTCATCTTTTTTTTGGTTAGGGATCGACTATAACGCAACCAAAGGTGTTAGTTGGTGTTGGTTACGAACATGTGTGCTGGTCACGCATCCCTACCAGCCCATTGCAGGCGTCGCTGGAAAGTCTCTTGGGAGAGCTGGTCGGTTGGAGTTCTCCTGTGGGCCCTGGGGGGGCGTCTGGGCGCCATCTTTGGGGGGAGGCCTCTTGAAGCCGTCTTAGAAGACATCGATTAAAATTGGAAGCCATCCTGGGCAGTCTAGATGGCTCTTGGGACCATCTTGGAATATCTTGGAGCCCTCTTGAAAGTCACTTGGGGCCCTCTGAGAGGCCCTGGAGGCCCTCGTGGGGCCAACCTGCAGGACATCGATCAGAGAGGGGAGGGGGGTCTGAACTAGTAGTGCCTCTCCTGAGCCCCCCAAAGTCGTCTCTGAGAGCGTTCTTGTGGGACCCTTGGGTCACTCTTGGGCGCTGTTGGGGCCGTCTTGGAGCCCTCTTGGGCCCCTCCTGGGTCTGTTGGGCCATCTTGGAGCCATCTTGAGGCCTCGGAAGGCAATCGGAAGCGAAACGAGCGAGAAGGCCAGAGCCGTTGATTTCCCATAGGTTTGGAAAGGAATGAGCTTCTTGGGGTCGTCCTGAGGAACCCACAAGGCCACTTGAACCCGTCCTGGAGCGGTCTTGGGACCTCTGAGAGTATGCTGGAAGCCATCTTGATCGGTCTTGCGCTGTCTGGAGCCACCTTGGCGGCCATGTTGGGCCATCTGAGGCCCTTTCGGAGCCATCCTGGGCCATCTTTCGGCGCTCTAGCGCCTCGCGGGGAGCCCCGTCCTCGCCCAGGGAGATGGGCTAGGGGGAGAGGCAAACCTCGCCCCGAAGGGGGAGAAGGAGGTGGGAATAAGAAGCGCCCTAACTTAACCCACCTACGGCCTGGAACTTTGGCTCAGCGTGTCGCTCTGCAGGTTCTGGCCCACCACGCTTCGGCGCGACGCGTTATCCACGTCCTCATTCCCAAGCGTCAACTTCCCGAGCATTTCCCAGCATCTCGCCCCGCGGAGCAGAGCGACACGCTATCCGCTCGCAAGGCATAGCGTTTCTCTGGAGCCGCTGCCGCGACACGCCAAGCAAAAGTTCCCGACCGTACGCCCGAAAGGGCTGGTGAGACCAACCTCGCACGACCCACATCGCAGGCGGGAGCGTCCACCAGATCCGAAGGGCTGTGCCCGCTGCCGCTGATGGCTATATTGGACAAGTCGGCATCTCTCAGGGCCTCTCGGGCCACCTTTCGGGCATGTTGGGCAAAACTGACCGTGTTGGACAGTCGCGGGGGCCCTGGAGGAAGTCTGGAAGCGACCTTGGGACATCCTAATGAGGGCAACACATGGGACTGGCAACCGCAGCGAGAAGGTATTCCATTGGTTTCCCGTGTGTTCTGCTGACTCGGGAGGCACACCGGGGCCCTCCAGGGCCATCTTGCAGTCATTCTGGGGCCACCTTCGGGCGCCTTGGACTCTCGAGGCCCTCCTCGGGGCATGTGTTGGGCTGCCTCCGAAGCGTCTTGGACTCTCCCGGCCGTCGCGTGGCGTCCCTGTGGGAATCCTGAGGTCACCCGGAGCAGCCAGGCTCGCACCTCCAGATGCTCTTGCTCGGGGAGTTGCCAAACACAAGACAGCCGTCCAGCATCAATTTTCGTACAGGCGAGGTTGATTCGTAGGTCAACCCGGCCAAACCAAGGGTACCCTGATGTCCTGTGTTTCGTGACCCGTGCCTTCTACACTCCTATGGCGATGTGGCCCTCGGAAGTGTCTTGTGTCCTCTCGCGTCTCCGATCAACCTTGACTGTAGCCTTGCGCCCCCGAGGGGAGGGGGCCAGGGGGTCTCAGGACAAGTGCATGCACGAGGCGTTCCAGAAATCGCCTCGCCTTTTGGCGCGTCCTCGCCACTCGCGGGAGGCCGGCGAGCGCTGGCGGAAGCAAAATAGTGGTGGGTCCGCCTGCGGAGTCTGGCGGAAGGCGGCGGAAGTAACAGTGAGACATCAACATGTGTCGATCCAGGGGTCACCGAGCGCCTTCCACTGCTCGCACAGTGCCTCCTCGCAAACGTCCATAGAAGCAAATGTGCGCCTCGATGTAGCGGAGCCTCTCTGCCTCGACGCATTGGATCCAGGCCACTTGCGAGCAGCTATTCTGCGAGCCGTGGAACGCGCTCGTCCAAGAGGGTCGGATGTGGCCACGTGTGCCCGTGAGCATGTGTATGTGTGTGTGTGTGCGCGCACATGTGCGCATGATGGCCGCACCCTCCTCGGCTCGAGATGGCGTTGGTGCCCGGCCCCGTGCCGCGCGGGGCCGCGCGGTGGGGCAAACGCTATGCAGCCGGCGCCTGCAGGGCAGCAGGACATCCACGCCAAGGCCGCCGAGCTGCTCCGGCGAGCCGCCGCCGAGCAGGACGTGGGGCAGCGCATCCGCCTGCTGCAGGAGGCACAGGACGTGCTGCTGCGGCCCGAGGTTGAGCGGGACACGGTGGGCTCGTGCCTCGATTACTTCCTGAACCTCCAGGCGGACCCGCACGTGGCGCTGCGCCGCTACCTTGCGCACTTCCTCGATCGGTTGCTCTTCTGCCAGCCGGCTCTCGCGCTGCGGTGCATCGCGACGGTGGCGTCCCTGCTCGGGGACGCTGACGTGTGCGTGCAGGAGCTGGCGCTCAGGGCTGCCACGACCCTGCACGGGCGCGCGATGCTGCTCCTCTCGTCGGAGAACGAGGTGCTGCAGTTTCAGCGCTACCACGAGCAGCTGCAGAAGCTCCAGGAGGCGATCATGGCTATGCTCCAGGGCGGCTGCCCCGGCAAGCCGCGGATCTTCCAGCTGGCCGCAAGCTGGGCCAAGGCCTCGATCCTGGTGCAGACGCCCAGCCCGCTGGCCCTGCGCGTGCGCGTGCCCCCCGACCTGCGCGGCGCCGCCTGCCTGGAGGACTTCCCGGAGAAGGCCCTGCAGCACCTCGACTTGGGCAGGGTCCAGCAGCAGGCCGACGAGCGCCTCGACGCCCTGTGCCGGCTCCTGGAGGCGCCGCCCCCCGAGCTCGGCGGGGCGTGGCCGCGCGGCCATGCCCGCTCGCTGCTCTCGGCCCTGGGGGCCGTGGCGAGGCAGCGCCCGGGCCGCCTCGGGCGGGTGCTGGGCGCGCTGTGCTGCTTCCTGCGCGAGGGCCAGGTGCCGCCCGAGGCGCAGGCCGCGCCGGCGGCGGGGAGCGGCCCGGCGGGCCGCGCGGGAGGCGGCGCGGAGCTGCGGGAGCTCGTCTGGGACGAGGTGTTGCGGCTGCTGGCGTCCAACCTCACCGCGGAGAGGCGGGCCGAGCTCGTCGAGGTGCTCCACAGCGCCGGCCTGGCGGGTCGCCTGGAGGACCTGGCGACCCAGGCAAAGTATAGGCAACTCTGCGCTGCCGCGGAGCGCTGGGGCACTCTGGGCAGCGAGCCGAAGCCCAAGCGGCGGCGGACGACCTTGGCCCACCGGCTGTGGACAGGTGCCAAGGCACAGGCGGGCCACGATGGCCCCGCGCGTGCGGACGAGGACGCTTTCGATGGCGACGCGCAGCTCTGCGGCGAGGCCGAGGGCGAGTGCCAGAGCTTCGAGGAATACTTCGGCCTCCCGAGCCAGCGGGAGCCCGCGGGCCACGTGGCGGCGCCCGCACTGCTCGCGAGCCGAAACAGCAACGGCGCCAACCTGGCGCGCATCGCGCTCACCTCCCTGAGCTCGCTGTCCATGAAGCGCAGCCTCCTGCGGGACAGGGCGAACGAGCGCGTGATCGCATTCAGCGAGCCCGCGCTCAAGGGCGTAAAGTCAAAGAAGGAGGCCCAGTCGGAGGGGCGTTCCGCAGACCTGGCCCTCTTCATCGTTGGGGCACCAACCGAGGACGCCGATGGCACCAATGGTGCGAGCGAGGACTCCCGAGAGGCGCTGAAGATAAGAGCGGCAGCGCCACAGATGCTCCCACCTGGACCGCTTGGTACTGGGGGCAGTGGCGACGGTCCGCTACTGCCCCTGGAGGGGCCCGCCGTGCAATTGGCGAGCCAGGTGGCGGTTCGCGAACAACTGCAGCTGCGCCTGTTTCGCGAGCTGCTCGAGTCGCAGCGGCGGATGCACAAGTCTCTACTGGCAGCCAGCATGACTGACGAGCAGCTAGAGAAGTTCCAGTTCGTCAGCCGCCAGGTTGCCCTCCACTTGGCTGCGGGCTCGCATGGGTCAGTCAGCTACGGGCTGCAGCGGCAGATGTGCCAGGCCTACATGCTGAACGCCTTCGAGGCCCTAAAGCTCGCCCTCGACCCGCAAACGGCCACGCCTGGTGCCGGCCCGGCGGTGCTTGGGACGCTCGTGGAGCTCTTCTTCGCCAAGTTCGCCGCAGACGTGGCGCGGTTCCAAGAGAACGCCGGACACACGAAGAGGGCCGCGGCCGAGGCTGCGGCAAAGACGCCGCTGCGGGACATCCTCGAGGGCCCAGGAGCGAGGGCGAAGGCGACCGGTGGCATTTTCACGTACGCCGAGCTCTTCGGCGTCTTCGTCGCCGAGTTCGAGCGCAACGAGTTGCCTCGGCGAGAGATGCGCACGTTCCTGAACGAGATCCCCGTCGTGCCGCTATCTGCGTTCCGACTGCTGGAGGCGCAGTGTCAGGTGGCTTCGACGAGAAAGATGGCTCTGCTGACGGTTCTGTCGCTGGTGGACAACAAGCCCTCTTGCCGGTGGCACTGCTTGCATTTGCTGTTCAGGCTAGCCTACTCTGGGGGCGACGACAGCAGCATCCGCTTCGACACGATCCGGCTCGTCATCAACAAGATCTACAACTCGGGCCCGCGGGCCCCGATGCGGTGGCAGCTGCCTCACCTCAGCGATGCGGAAGCAGCAGCAGCCGCGCTGCAGGGCGCTGGGGGCGGCGCCTCCTGGGAGCTGCCCGACGACGACTTCCTGCCTCTGGAGAAGCTCAAGGGCAGGTGCATCGAGGATGTTGCAACGCTGATGCTTCGCTCCATGGCGCCGAGTGCGGCCAGGTTCGCCCTGCCGGTGAACGTGCCGCTGCGCGTCGAGCAGCTACGAGGCGACCTCTTCAAAGGCGCCGTGTGCGTTCCCAAGGACAGGGTGTGGCTGTATCTCGCCCTTTGCATCAAACGGCCTGTCCTGCTCCACGAGCTCGTCGAGACCTTCACGCTGTGCGACCCGGACATGAAGGAGCACCTCGTCAACTCCATCGAGGAGGCCATCAAGTACATCCCCGCCTCGGAGCAGGAGGTGCTCTCGCTGGTGCGCAAGGCGACCCCGGAGACCGAGCGGCTGGTGCTGAAAGTGCTGCACATCCTGATGCAGGCCAGCCAGGGCAAGGAGGGGCAGCCCCTCTGCCCCGAGTACGGGGAGGCGGTGACGCGGCTGTACGGCGCCACCTCGAACCCGCGCCTGCTCGTGCCCGTCTTCGACCTCCTCGACCGGAAGAACCTGCTCGACTTCCTGCCGGCCGTCCTGCAGCTGGAGGCTCGGGGGCAGCGTCAGGGGGGCGGCCAGGCTCAGGGAGGTTGCGCAGCGACCCCCGATCGCCCACCCCGCCCGGGGACGTGCGGATTCGCTGAGGAGGGCCTGTCGCCGATCGATCGGCGAGGTGTCGCCGATGCCAGGTCGACGCTTCCCCCCAAGCCGATCCCCCTGTCGTTGCCCCTAAGAGGAGGAGGAGGTCACGAACGCCTTCAGGCAGCTGGTGCACAGCCGCTCGCCGCCCCTCAGCATCTCGGAGCTGCTCACGGAGCTCCACCACATGAACACCCCCACGGAGAACATCGTGCCAGTCAAGTGCTCGATGCAGGCGCTGAACATCCTTTTCGCCATGCGGGAGCAGTTCGATCCGAAGGTCTACGGCATCGTGGTACAGTCGCTGGTGGAGGAGCCGGGCCGGTTGCCCACGCTGTTCATGCGCACTGTGATCCAGGTCGTGAAGGAGCTGCCCCGGCTCGCGGACTTCGTCGTGGTCGAGATCCTCCCCCGGCTGGCCAGGCAGGAGGTACTGGGCGACGACAACATGCGGCGCGGCTTCATGATCGTCCTGCAGCACACGTTTGCCAGCCAGCCGGCCGGCGCCGCGAGGGTGCTGACGATGCTGCCCATCACGCAGCTGGAGGACGTGCTCGTGCAGCACCCGGACTGGAAGGCGCCGCTGCTGGACTACGCGTCCAGGCAGCCCGCGGGCGTCGTGCCGCCGCACGTCAGGCAGCTCCTGCAGTGAGGGCACGCCCTGGGGGCGCGGCTGCACGTGGCCCCCGCGCCGCCAGGATGCACCGCGTGTCCAGCCTGTCGAAGTCGGGCCCCCAAGTCTTGAGGGTCTCTCGAGGAGTGGCGGATGCCTCACCGCCCCCGAGGGCGGGGAAGGTCTCCACATCCACCGTCCCCGGGGGATCCGGCCAGGACTGCGGCACTTGTGGACATGGGTGCCTCCTGCCGGTGCAGGTTCTGCTCCTCCCTACTCCTCGTCCCTCCCCCTTCCTCCTGTCTCTCCTCCTCCAGCGCCGAGGATACATCATTTCCGTGCGCCCCGAGAAAATCAGGCGGAGCTTGTGCGTTCGAGCCGGGGCAGGGTTCCGAGGCCCGGAAGTGGGGCCACCCTCGTTCGCGGGGGGCCTTCTCCCTCGGGCCCCCCCCCCCCCGTAGGCACCACAAGGGGCCAGGCGGCCCGAGGGCGGCCGGCGCATGACCCCAAGAGGGCCCCGCGGCCCCTGGATCTTTCCAGCGAGCCCCGAGGAAGCAAACCGCGGAAACAAGCTTGTCGTTGTCTCAGCCTGTGCAGCCTCCCAGCTCTTCTGGCCAAGGTTACCTCAGCGGGCCCAAGATATCCCCAGGCCTTGTCGAGATGGCCCCCAAGCAGGCCCCAAGACTGGCTCAGGGCGTCCTGGTGCTGCCTTGGGGGCGTCTGCCTCGGGATTACAGTTGGGCATTGTTGGGGCCGTCTTGGGGCCCAAGGGGGCCTTCGTTGGATGCTTCTCACACTGAGAATGTCTGTGCAAGGGCACGTGCAGCTGTTAAGAAGACGAGCGCTATGCTCCAAGACCCCTGCAGCGCGAGAGCATTGCGTTTGCACCTGTTCCCCTGTGCTGGTTCTCCTTCTCCCGGTCCTCCTGGTCCTCCCCTCCTCTTCGCCCTCCTCCACAGCTCCCTCCCGTTGTCCACCCTTTGCCCAGGCCAGCTTCCCGAACAACAACCCTGCGGAGTACATCGCTTTCAGCGTCGTGGGCCAGGAGCTTCTGCCCGTGCGTTGGGCGGGGTGCTGCCCTGGTTGAGCTGGGCCCGCAGAGACTGCCCCGCGGCTGCTTCCGCCAACGGGCCCCGAAGACTTGCGACAATTACGCCCGCTGGCACCGTCTCGCCACGCCTCCTGTGGGTCCATCTCCCTCTCTGTAGATATCTCTCTATGATTACAACCAGATGTGTATTTGCACGGGCTTGTACCTGTATCTATGCATTCATGTAGTTTGTATATGTGGATGCGTGCATGTATATGCATGTATGTGAACATATGTATGTACATGCATGTACAACTATATGTGTACATGTATATGTAAATTCTTGACGCTTCGCGTGTCCCCACCAGCTCCAACTGGTGCAGCAGTCGCGGATAAGGTCAAGGAGTACGAACATTGGAGGACAGGTGGCGCAAGTGACAGGAAGGCGGTTGCCCTCCCCTCCCTGGGTCATCTCCCACTTGGCTTCGGATGCAGCCCCCAATCGGACACGAGGACAGTGCCGGATCTCATCATGACGCCGACGGGCATGCACATCCCCACGCGCGCCAACACCACTATCCCCATCCTCCGGGTCAGAGATGAGCGGTTCGGCTTCAAAGCTGCGGAGAACAAGGTCTACTCAGCTCGGTGCGACACATGCCCCCCAGGGGCACCGCTCCTAGTCTGGAAGATTGGAGCACCTCCCCTGGGCTGCTTCATATGGAAGCCAAAGGAATGAGTGGGTGTGCCCGAGCAAGCCGGGCTGCCTCCCATCGAACGGCGAGCCATAGCCTGGTGGGGGCGCGACTGGAACGCCACGTGGTGCTGCCGGCGGTGCCTGGTCACCATCTGGAACATCGGGCCCGCGACCTTGGACCACATCATTGGGAGAGACTACAGGGCACTTTATCCAGCTGAGGCCCCTGTCCTGCCAACGCTCAATAGCCAGATTGTGGCGGATGCGCCAGTGGATATTCTCAGCACCCTTCCCTGGATGGGCGCTGACGCCAAGGCCCCAGATCGCTTCACCAAGACAGGAGCGGCAAACCTCCCTGGGTCCAGCGCCTCGGGAACAGCTGCTTCCGTGGCCGAGCAGGCCCCCAGGACTCTCGCAGCTCATGGAGCTCCTGCCGGAGCTGCCAGTCCCTCAGTGGCCGCTCCTGGACAGCAGGGACGTCACCAACCCCACGCTCAGGCCAGACGACCCCAGGAGTGGGTCTGGCAACGGAGACGTGGTCGTTCAGCAGCTCCTCGTGACCAACCTCCGGGACTTCCACCCTGGATTGGACTACATTTGGCGACAGTTCTGTCACGGCCATTGCGATGATAACATCCCAGAGCCTAAAAACGAAGAAGCCTCTTGGCCAGGCAGTCGGTTGACGAGGTTTCTCAGGGCGGCGTACGGCGACAACATCCCGAAGGATTGCTCCCCGGTCAACCAGCCCTGGGCAGGCAAGCGGCTGGCCGCCGCGCGAGTCGTCTCCCACCTCACCAACGGCGAGAAACACAGAGAGGCCTGGGAGCGGCACGTCTCGACCCTCGCCCCGGAGAGTGGCCTCAACCCAGTCAGACACGAGATGGGCACGCTGACGAGCTTCCTGCTCAGCCTCAGTGCCGATGCCCTGGCCTCGACAACCATCACCTCCCTGGCGGAGTCGCACGTGCAGGCCATGAGCGAGGACATGCCCGGCAACGCGGCAGGGCGCCCTCCGGCACAGTGGCTGGGCCCCAAGCTCGAAGCTCCAGCAAGACCCGAGGGAGGCACCTCCACAGCGGTTCGTGCAGACAACTCCCTGGGTACGAAGGACGCCGAAATGGGTGCTGGAGACGCGAAGGTGCCTGGCCTAGCTGCCAAAGAGGAGGGCGACGAAGACGAGGTTCCTGCCACTGAGCGAGCGGATTCGGCCGACTTTGGAAGCCCCCACGAGCCTCCTCCCCCTGATGACTGCGCGGACCCGGCCGCTGGCCCCGCTGAAGATGATGGCCCTGGCGCCAGGCCGCCACAGCAAAGCCCAACGGCAGAGCGCATGGAACCCAGCTCCGACGACGACCCCTTGGCCGCCTGGGGTCGTACAGCCACCACCGAGCAGAACGCCAGTGGTTCCAGCGGGCCAGGTCAAGATGAAGCCGCGCGAGAGAGAGGCACAGCGCAGGACCGCCGCCCCCCACTACGCAACCCACAGACACCAGATCGCAGGCTTGCCTACTCTGGCGCAGCGGGACGACACGCTCTCAACCAGCTGACCGACGCCCACGGAGGCCCCATGTACAAGGCCTGGTTGGGCTCCGTGGAATTGGAGCGCCGCGGAGATACGCCCGCCAAGCGCATCACCAAGTGGACTTGGGTGGAGTATTATGCGAAATGTGGGCGGCCTACAGAAAAGGCGCCCGGATCCCTGGGTGCAAGGATCCCAAGTCAGACCCGAAGCTGCACACGGACGAGAACATCAACAAGTTCTTGGATGACTGGAAGCGCTGTGGATACGATGCCTACGCGATGGACAAGAAGTATAACTTCCGCATCGACTGGGCAACGGTTCGGTCCGAATACATGCGCCGCACCAGGACCGACGGCACGGGCAAGGGCAGCCACCAGCAGAGCAGCTGGTATGACCGAGCTGGGAGCTCCTGGGACGCCTGGGACAACTGGCAGAGTGGCTGGAGCTCTGGCTGGCACGACGACCAGTGGCAGTCAGGAGGCAAGCGTGGTGGCGGCAGGCCAGACGATCGTGGCGAGAAGAGACAACGGCGGGGCGACTGAGCCCCCCCCATCCCCAAGAGATTCAGGTGCAGCGTCCGATTTCCACACTCTGTGCAGCCTTCAGCTGCCTCCCTGGGTTACGTTTCATATACTCGTGTGGCGGCCTTCAGCCGCCCTCCCTGGTACACGCATTTCCTGCCTTTGGACCCAAGTGTGTTTACCAGCAATACCGTCTGCATGACTGCGCTTGGGCGTGTCGCGTGCAGGCCATAGTTGGCCCCTGGCCCGTCTGTAGTACCCACCCATCCTGCGGGGTGGGTCCTCTTTCGAAGGGACGGCGCCCCGCGTGTTCCTCACTCCTCCTCCCCCTACGATATAATTACCTGGCGATATGATTACGAGCCTATACCATTTCACACCGATATATATAACCCTCACACGCTCCGTGGCCTATGGGGAAGCTCACGAGGCCCCAGTGGCAGGGTTCCGCTTGCCCGCGTGCCCATTTCGGCACACCCCTCACACGTTTCGTGGCCCCATAGGGAGCTCCACCGAAGGCCCCAGTGGCTGCGTTCGCATGCCTCCCAACCACCCATTTCGGCACACCCCTCACACGTTTCGTGGCCCCATAGGGAGCTCCACCGAAGGCCCCAGTGGCTGCGTTCGCATGCCTCCCCACCACCCATTTCGGCACACCCCTCACACGTTTCGTGGCCCCATAGGGAGCTCCACCGAAGGCCCCAGTGGCTGCGTTCGCATGCATCCCCACCACCCATTTCGGCACACCCCTCACACGCTTCGTGGCCATCGGAGTCCATCGAAGGCCAGTGGAGGGGCCGATGCACTCCCCCCCACGTTCGTACCCCCGTCACAGTTTCGTGGGCCCATTGCGGCGTCACCCGAAGGCAGAGGCAGGGTCCGATTGCTTCCACACTCCCTCTAATCTGATCCCACACACGCTTGTGGCCCATTGGGCTCCACGAAGGCCCGGTGGCAGGGTCCGCAAAGCTCCCCAACATTTCGGCACACCCTTCATCGTTTGTGGCCATTAGGGGAGCTTACAACCGGAAGGCCCCAATGGCAGGGTCGCATGCTTCCCCCGGCCTTTCGGCACACCCTCACCAACGAAGGCCGTGAGGGTGGCCTGCTCCACCACCCATTTCGACACCCCTCACACGTTTCGTGGCCCAAGGGCTCTCCCCGACGCTATAGGGCGCGGTCGCATGCCTACCACCACACTTTCACGGCACACCCCTCACACGTTTCGTGGCCCCATAGGGAGCTCCACCGAAGGCCCCAGTGGCTGCGCCCGCATGCGGTTCCACCCCCCATTCTGGCACACCCCTCACCCGTTTCGTGGCCCCATAGGGAGCTCCACCGAAGGCCCCAGTGGCTGCGTTCGCATGCCTCCCCACCACCCATTTCGGCACACCCCTCACACGTTTCGTGGCCCCATAGGGAGCTCCACCGAAGGCCCCAGTGGCTGCGTTCGCATGCTGCCCCCACACCAATTTCGGCACACCCCTCACACGTTTCGTGGCCCCACAGGGAGCTCCACCGAAGGCCCCAGTGGCTGCGTTCGCATGCCGCCCCCACACCAATTTCGGCACACCCCTCACACGT